CACACACACACACACACACACACACACACACACACACACACACACACACACACACACACACAGACACACACACACACACACACACACACACACACACACACACACACACACACACACACACACACACACACACACACACACACAGACACAGACACAGACACACACAGACACACACAGACACACACACACACACACACACACACACACACACACACACACAGACACACAGACACACACACAGACACACACACACACACACACACACACACACAGTGAGTCCTATATACGACTCTTGGACTCTTTACCGACTGCAACAATGTCGCAGCATTCTTCTTCTTGTGAATTGTTACTTTGTAGTCCACATTAAACTCTGTAGTTTCAAATAGTGTTCTGGGAAGGGCATGAGCGACCGGAGCGAAATTGGAGCGAGAGATAAAACTCGGCTCCACCTTTTAAAGAATGTGCCGCTCCTCGCTCAACACAAAATCCTTACGCTCCCCTCTGCTGGGGATCAGGTCTCTGTATAAAGGGGGACAGACCTACCTGGGGATCAGGTCTCTGTATAAAGGGGGACAGACCTACCTGGGGATCAGGTCTCTGTATAAAGGGGGACAGACCTACCTGGGGATCAGGTCTCTGTATAAAGGGGGACAGACCTACCTGGGGATCAGGTCTCTGTATAAAGGGGGACAGACCTACCTGGGGATCAGGGCTTTGGCCTCCTCAGCAGCTTCAGGACAGAGGTTAGCCAGACTGGCGAGTTCGAACTTGTGGAGCTTCTTCTGCAGGAGGAGACTGAAACAGAGACAGAGGATCAGAACCAGGTCAGACCACAGAGCGGGACCAGGTCCAGGACCAGGTGTGAGGAGGACCCTGACCTGCGTACGGCGGTGATGGTCTCTCGGTTCTTGAAGCGGCTGAAGCGGGCCGTGTAGTTGAGGGTCTTCATGAAGACCTCCGACAGCTCCTGCTCGTCCTCCGCGCTCTCGTTCTGCTGCTTCCTGTGCTCCAGCAGCATGTGGACCTCAGAGTTCAGCAGGGTCTCTGCACTCTCAAACTCTGGGGGGACAGAGGACATGTTTGTAGTTCTTTATACAGCATACACAAGTGAATGGCAACCTGTGGCCCGCGGGCCACGTCCGGCCCCCAGAATATTACTGAATTGAGGAATAGCCTAGTGAAGAGGAAAAAGTATGTTTGTATATTTATTTATTTTTCAATCCAATGAAAGAAACAACCTCTGAAAGTAGTCTGTGCCATCGCCTGCTTCAAACTACAAGGACCATAAACTCTCATTAACATCTTTTATTGTGCTGGCTCAGATTGTTCAGGTACAGCAGCTCTAAACACTACGAACACATCCTGACCACTAAAGCTGCAGGCCCTCCTCCTCTACTGTCCTCTACTGTCTACTGTCCTCCACTGTCCTCTACTGTCCTCTACTGTCTACTGTCCTCTACTGTCCTCCACTGTCCTCCACTGTCCTCTACTGTCTACTGACCTCTACTGTCCTCTACTGTCTACTGTCCTCTACTGACTGCCTCTACTGTCCTCCACTGACCTCCACTGACCTCTACTGTCCTTTACTGTCTACTGTCTACTGTCCTCTACTGTCTACTGTCCTCTACTGTCCTCTACTGTCTACTGTCCTCTACTGTCTACTGTCCTCTACTGTCTACTGTCCTACTGTCTACTGTCCTCTACTGTCCTTTACTGTCTACTGTCCTCTACTGTCCTCTACTGTCCTTTACTGTCCTCTACTGTCTACTGTCCTCCACTGTCCTCCACTGTCCTCTACTGTCTACTGTCCTCTACTGTCCTCTACTGACCTCCACTGTCCTCCACTGTCCTCTACTGTCCTCCACTGTCCTCCACTGACCTCTACTGTCCTCCACTGACCTTTACTGTCCTTTACTGTCTACTGTCCTCTACTGTCCTCCACTGTCCTCTACTGTCCTCCACTGTCCTCTACTGTCCTTTACTGTCTACTGTCCTCTACTGTCCTTTACTGTCTACTGTCCTCTACTGTCCTCTACTGTCTACTGTCCTCCACTGTCCTCCACTGTCCTCTACTGTCTACTGTCCTCTACTGTCCTCTACTGTCCTCCACTGTCCTCTACTGTCCTCTACTGTCTACTGTCCTCTACTGTCCTCCACTGTCCTCTACTGTCCTCTACTGTCCTTTACTGACCTCCACTGTCCTTTACTGTCCTTTACTGTCCTCTACTGTCCTCTACTGACCTCTACTGTCCTCTACTGTCCTCCACTGTCCTCTACTGACCTCTACTGTCCTCCACTGTCCTCCACTGACCTCCACTGTCCTCCACTGTCCTCCACTGTCCTCCACTGTCCTTTACTGTCCTCTACTGTCCTCCACTGTCCTCCACTGTCCTCTACTGTCCTCTACTGACCTCCACTGTCCTCTACTGTCCTCTACTGTCCTCCACTGTCCTCCACTGTCTACTGTCCTCTACTGTCCTCCACTGACCTCCACTGTCCT